AGGGTAAAATAACAACTATGTATCTTCTTTATCCTCCCTCAAACCCATCGTCACTCTAAAACCCATCTAGCCACCTATCAATGTCGATTGCCGTCATTGGCCACAGCCCACCACTGTCACCCCAGCAAACCAAATCCCTTGTCTTATTACAGAAATCACCACCTAACAATTTGTAACTACTCTGACTTCCTTATCTTAACCCCTTTCACTCTCCCTTCTCAACGCTACACTAGTCACACAAACACACAGTTGACCGTGCTCTCAATCGTCGAAGTTCAATGCATAACTTAAGAGATTATACTGGAATATTTGCCTAGAGAATTTTTTGGGAAGAATCCAAATGAAGTAAACAAACCAGTAACTGCGAGTGCTCAACCATCAGCTATTGCACTCTCACCCGTGGCCGGAATGTACAGTCCAGCAAGTCATGATTCATTAGCGACGGGAATGGAAATAATATATTTTATTCCCTTACCACACCGATCGTCGTCGACAGTTTTCTGATGTTCCTTCGATGTCGAAATCCACCCCCAATTATCGGATTGTCAGAACCAAAAACTCCGTTTTCTTTATGGGAGAATTTTGGGATGGTCTGATTTTGATTTTAGGGATTTTGGGGGGTGTGGTGGGTGAAAAAGATGATAGATTATTTCATTAGTTTTTAAAAGATAATCTTATAAATATAATATTAGCATTATGCCCTTTTAAAAAATATAAAATATGTTGTCAGTTTCAATTTTTTGGTCAACTAACAGACATTTGGATGGAATCCATCAACGTTTTGAAAGGTTATAAGGCTCTTAAACTTTATAACAATATAAGAAATGCTAACTTGCCTTTAGAAAATCGCCAACGTCTAATACTTATAATTTTGAGCATCGCATATACCCATTATTACTTTTTTAGTCTTGCATTATTGAAAATAAGATTGCTATAATACCTAAAATTTGCTGTAGTTAATTTACTCAAAACTAAATTATATAAATATAATTTTCTATAATTAGCTGTAGTTAATTTACTCAAACTAAATTATATAAATATAAATTGATACGTAGTTTCAAATTTAATCATATAAGTTTTTACTTATTTTGTTAAATATAGTATCTGATTTAACAAAATAATTATTTATAAGTGCGATTTAATATCAAATGATAAAAACGGGTATAATTATATTATTTTGAAAGGATTAATATATCAGATTAAATGACGTTATCTTCTATCTATATATATTAAAAGTGACTATGTAACGGAATTTCTTGTTTTTAATGAAAAAACTAACGGAATTTGTTGTTTTAACGGACTATGTAACGGAATTTCTTGTTTTAAACCGGCAGCTGCACCTTCTTTCAGTATATTTATCATAACTTTGTATTTCGATATCCGATTGAGGCGATTCAAAATGCGTTGGAAAGCTAACTCATCTGGCTACAACTGTGATTCAGACATCATTCTCCAATTCGATCACTTTCTATGCCAAAAATAGGTCTCAATATAACGGACTATGTAACGAAATTTTTTGTTTTAAACAGGCAGCTACACCTTCTTTCAGTATTTTTATTATAACTTTGTATTTCGATATCCGATTGAGGCGATTCAAAATGCGTTGGAAAGCTAACTCATCTGGCTACAACTTTGATTCAGACATCATTCTCCAATTCGATCACTTTCTATGCCAAAAATAGGTCTCAATATGAGACTAAAACATCGGAGCATAACTTTTCGGTTGGAAATTGATTTGTGATCATCTTTTGACTAAATTTGATCCCATTGACATCTTCCTTTATCCAATTGACTCCGAGCACTCTCAAATCTTCATCGTGAGATTCGGCACAACTTTTAAGTATTTACATTTTAGTCCCCGAACTTTGGATCCCTTACAATTTAGCCATTTCTCCAAATTTGTCAACTTTTGCTTATTTTTTTCGATCTCACCAACTTACATCACAACATCAAAATCACACATCTAATTATTTAACAATTATATAAACATTACATCATTAATTATTTAATTAACCAAAAAAATAACATCTTTATTAATAACAAATTAATTATTAAACAAAACTATTAAATATAAACTAGGCAAACGTGCATTGCACGTTGCTTGCACCTAGTATTATATAACATGTCTATCATTTAATAATAAATTTCGATGGTATACAATATTTTAATGAACTAATTTAGTTGCAGCTAAATTTTACTTGAATTCTAAAAAGTAAATATTTGTATTAAATATCCTTTTTTAGTTTATATATTTTTAAAAATAAATCAAATTATTTATTATCAAATTCTTCAATATTTTTTTTATTTTTAATAGCCCTACTAGTAATTATATTCAAAATTGTGTATGAATTTATTTATTATTAAAGAGAACAAGTTAAATTGCAAGTGTAGAAAATTTCGTCCTCTCTCTTGAAAAGGGGCATTTAGACTTGGACTATGGTTCAAAAAGTGATTGAATAGTGTATGTGATATTCAAAACTATAAATAAGTGAGATAGTATGATTTTTCAAACATAGTGGCATGTCTTTGATATCATCGTAAAGTTCAAAGTGCATCTATGATATTTTGATTATTTTCTCTATAATAAAAATATAATAATCTTTACTTGAAGGCACCTCTTTAATATAGAGTATGTAGTTTATATTAACTTTCTTTCTTCCAACATGTAATGGGAAGAGGGTTTGTAGTGGCCCCTTCTTCTGGTGTATTTTTTGAAAGAATAATGTTATTTGCAGATGCTCATCACTATCATCGTAGTAGTCTAAATAGTATACATGCGACGGTTAATAATTTGATGCATGAAGCATTAAAAAAATGCAACATTGATGTATCAAATCACTAACTTTCACATGTATGTTACGTATGACTACTATAATAATGAACGATTGCAAATAGCATTACTTTCGGGTTAAATAGAAGACATTTTCACAATAACATTGTACACTTTTACAATAACCTTGTACCACATGAAAGTTAGTGATTTGAAGCATTAATATGATAGTGTTTTATTATCTTATATATCAAATCATTAACTGTCACATACA